CCAACAATGCCCAAATGCACAGCGGTGTCGGCCCTTTGCTAACGGCATGAAACAATTGCGGCACATTTCCAACAGAGCGACGTGTTGTTCGCGCTCAACTCGATTGAGTTCTAAAAATTTTGGGCATTTGTGCATACGGTGATTTTCCAGGCAAAAGTTACACTGTCGGTTCCGATTTCCCTTAATTTTGTTCCGCAAATCAAAGCCAGAAGCTTGCTGCTCCACTGACCGCACCGCTGGAACAATATATGGCTCATCGTTTCGACTCCATTGCAGCGTTGGTAAACGGCTCCCCTTTCTTGGCGATCGTGAACTCACGTACGATAATGATGGACAATGAACTGTTGAACAATCCGGTGAACGTGGCTTTCTTTGTATTGATGAACGTGAACAATTTCGCACACTTATTTGATTTAATTGGTCACTCAAAGTTTGATGTCGTCGTTCGAGATCCACATAACGTTCGTTCATTCGGCGCTCCAAAGGCATTAATAGCCGTGTTTTATTTGTCCAGAAATTTAAGCTATTAGCTTATTTTGTATGGAGGACTTACCCAATTGGCTTATGAAAAGCTATCTTGGCTTGTATATTGAACAAGAGGCATTGCCATTCAGCATCAGGAATTTTCTCTTTCAGCCAATCAGAAAGACGCAAAAACTTGCTTTGACACTATTTGCAGTCAAACGACTGTCAAAATTAGGCTAACATAGGAAATAAGCTAATTTCGTTTTATTTGACCAAGATTTAGCTATTCGCTTGTGATGTTTGAATAAAACATGCCTATTGTTGATCGTTCCATGATATTCCGCACTGGTGACTCTTCCTTGGTTCGTGCTAATGATCGCAAAGCTAAATTCGATTCAACGGTTGCCGTCTGTTGGCGATACCGAATAATGGTGTTTTGATATTTCCTTTCGATTTCGGCATAAAAATCGTCTTCAGCCTTAAAATATTTTCGCTCAGATAGTCTTGTCACCAAATTCTGATGTGCTTCAGTAAAATTTGCAAACAATGTTTTCAATAATTCTTTGCGCTCTTCCAACTCAGCTAATTCTAACGTTTTGAATTTATCGGACCATGTAAATCTCTCATTTCGGTAAATAGCATTTATATGCATTCGTCGCACATTGTCTGTACCTGGTGGGTAAGGTGGCTCCATTTTGTTTCGCACAATAAAAAGAGAAGAAGAAAAAATGTTCACTGCTCGTCCAAACTATGTATTTCATATTATTGTTTATTTATTCATCCAGAATAATCTTTGATTATTCGCTCAAAACTTTTTTATTCCAAATTTATTGATCCGGCTCGATTTAGGACCATATATTACAAGAACAATCAAAAGACGTCTTCATTCCATTACGGTTCGCACAACAATGCCAATTTATTGAACTAATCGAACGATGGACAGCGTGTCCAAGTACAATAAGTGTGTTTTGCATAGTAGCGGCTGAGCAATAGTAGCACTGAGTGCCACTATAGAACAGTTCATAGTCGAATATAACTTATACACTTTCGATATGCATATTTGTATACTTATTATATAAAAATTTGAAAAAAAAACACATTTAAAAGAAAAAATACCTTTTTTATAAAAAAATATTATAAACAAAAAAAATACTAACCAATTTTCAAAAGGTTGGTATCGGTGTAAACGCGATTAAACCCCCTTTCTTCTGATATGCATATTTGAATACTTCGTATATAAAAATTAAAAAGAAACACATTTAAATGAAAAAATAACTTTTTTATATAAAAAGAATATTTTAAACAAAAAACACTAACCGATTTTTAAAAAGTTTGTAGCGTAAAGGCTATTAAACCTATATGGAGCATCTCACAACCAATTTAGGGGACGCTAGATATGTAGACGACATAATATGCATAATAAAGGGGGACAAAGAGGAGCAGATATTAGACTACCTTAATGAACAACACAAAAATATTGCATTCACGATGGATAAGGAAGAGAAAGGAAAACTCAACTATTTGGATCTAACTATTAAAATAAACAAGACTACCAACAGACTGGAATATGAGATATACAGAAAGCCCACAGCGACGGACACAGTAATACATGAAACCACTAACTACCCACAGCAACACAAAAACGCAGCATTTAGACAAATATTAACTTGACTTGANTGCAAGCAGAAAACATATCAAGGGAGAATTATATACGAACAAACAAACACCGTATCCGATGTAATATTCGAACCACTCAAGATGTTGTACGAAAAATATGAGAAGACCCCTGAAAAAAACGCCAACGCGAAGATACATACCTACGCCGCAGAGACCAAGAAAATGAAAGTAACGGATTTCTATCTGCCGGCACAAGCAAGCAACCTAATACCTGCTAAATAACGGAACATAAACCGACGCAATCACGAAACGGAAATAACGGATTTCTACCCGCCGGCGAATACAAGCAACCGAAAGGCACCTACCTGTGAGATAATGAAACAAAAGTGGTCGCACTTAGATGGGTATGCATGACTAATGACAGTTAAAACAGATAGTAACTCGAATACATAAAAAGCGGAAGGAAACACGAACTATTCAGAACGAAAAATGACACTGAAGATGGCACAACGCCGAAACCGGTTTGTCTCCAAACCAAATTTGACAAGGGATGACGGAATCGTTCCACAATTCATCATACTCCTACCCTGTCGGAAACACAAACAACCAAAAAGAAGCTATTAAACCTCTTTCTTCTGAAGTGCACATTTGTATACTTTGCATATAAAAATTTGAGAAGAACCACATTTAAAGGAAAAAATAAATTTTTTTATAAAATAAATTTAAATAAAAAAATTACCAACCGATTTTTAAACAATTTGTACCGTTGTAAAGGCGATTAAACCCCCTTTCGTCTGATATGTATATATGTATACTTCGCATCTAAAAATTTGAGAAAAACATTTAAAAGAAAAAAAATATCAATTTAAAAAAAAAAAAAAATATTTTAAACAAAATAATTACTAATTGGTAATACAATTGAACACTTTATTTAAATAAAACAGAAAATTATCTTTAATTTTTATATATAACCTCTTATGTAAAAAATCAAAAACCACGGCGTTTTTATGTTTTTATATGCCTTAGACTTCTGTTACATATACTTTTGCTTTATTTTTAACAGGACTGCGGGTGAACAAGAACGAATTAACACTTAAAACACTAAAAATTATTTGTTTTATTTAAATACGGTATTGAATTGTATTACTAATTAGTAATTTTTATAAAAAAAAATTGGTATTTTTCCTTTTAATTTTTTTTTCNGTAGGGTGTATACAAATTAACGTGTGAATGCAAGTGTAGCTACATAGGGCAAACTGGCCGTAAGATTAAAACAAGATTCCGAGAACATATAAGAGACTACAATAAGAGGACACAAAAACCAAGCGTCACACCAGAATCAAACTTCGCAAATCATATGTTCGAAAATAAATGTACACCAATGAAAATTAATAAGGCAGCCAAACTCCTCCATGTACAGCATAAAGGACGGCGTTTGAACATATTGGAAAACATGGAGATATGCAAGCAGAAAACATATCAAGGGAGAATTATATACGAACAAACAAACACCGTATCCGATGTAATATTCGAACCACTCAAGATGTTGTACGAAAAATATGAGAAGACCCCTGAAAAAAACGCCAACGCGAAGATACATACCTACGCCGCAGAGACCAAGAAAATGAAAGTAACGGATTTCTATCTGCCGGCACAAGCAAGCAACCTAATACCTGCTAAATAACGGAACATAAACCGACGCAATCACGAAACGGAAATAACGGATTTCTACCCGCCGGCGAATACAAGCAACCGAAAGGCACCTACCTGTGAGATAATGAAACAAAAGTGGTCGCACTTAGATGGGTATGCATGACTAATGACAGTTAAAACAGATAGTAACTCGAATACATAAAAAGCGGAAGGAAACACGAACTATTCAGAACGAAAAATGACACTGAAGATGGCACAACGCCGAAACCGGTTTGTCTCCAAACCAAATTTGACAAGGGATGACGGAATCGTTCCACAATTCATCATACTCCTACCCTGTCGGAAACACAAACAACCAAAAAGAAGCTATTAAACCTCTTTCTTCTGAAGTGCACATTTGTATACTTTGCATATAAAAATTTGAGAAGAACCACATTTAAAGGAAAAAATAAATTTTTTTATAAAATAAATTTAAATAAAAAAATTACCAACCGATTTTTAAACAATTTGTACCGTTGTAAAGGCGATTAAACCCCCTTTCGTCTGATATGTATATATGTATACTTCGCATCTAAAAATTTGAGAAAAACATTTAAAAGAAAAAAAATATCAATTTAAAAAAAAAAAAAAATATTTTAAACAAAATAATTACTAATTGGTAATACAATTGAACACTTTATTTAAATAAAACAGAAAATTATCTTTAATTTTTATATATAACCTCTTATGTAAAAAATCAAAAACCACGGCGTTTTTATGTTTTTATATGCCTTAGACTTCTGTTACATATACTTTTGCTTTATTTTTAACAGGACTGCGGGTGAACAAGAACGAATTAACACTTAAAACACTAAAAATTATTTGTTTTATTTAAATACGGTATTGAATTGTATTACTAATTAGTAATTTTTATAAAAAAAAATTGGTATTTTTCCTTTTAATTTTTTTTTCTCCAAATACGAAGTATACAAATATGCATATCAGAAGAAGGGGGTTAATCGTCTTTAAGACGATACCAATTTTTTAAAAATCGGTTAGTAATTTTTTTGTTTAAAATATTTTTTTTTACAAAAAAAGATATTTTTTCCTTTAAATATGTTTTTTCTCAAATTTTTATGTACGAAGTATAAAAATATGCATATCAAAAGAAAGGGGGTTATATCACCTTTACAACGATATGAATCTTTTAAAAATCAGTTCAAAATTTTCTGAAATATTAAGTTTTTAATTTTTCGAAGATTTGACCTTTGACCCGTTATAGCACCTGTAATATAAGTTTTCACAAAAAAGTTATATACCATATAAATAAGAGAAAAAGGCGGACCACGTCTGTATTTTTACTTTTCTGTTTTTTACATTCAATAATTAAAAATAATTTTTTACCAAAGGTAAAATTTCGAATTTGAAAGGCCCATATCTCGATTTCGGAGGCTAACTTCGAAAAACGGAGAACTTTCTTTTTTAACTTATGACTCAGTCTCTTAAAAAAAAAGTTGGTTTGATCCAATACCCAGCCGAGTGCTGTACAGTGTAATATTTAATATTAATAAACTACATTTTTATAAACAAAAAATTAAATTAAAATAAATAGTCAAAACTTGTCAATATGTGAGTGTCATATAGTTATGATAAGCACTATACGAATTGTATCTATATACAACAAGTTCCGAATACCCCTAAAGTATTCGTGCATTGTAATATTAAAAATAATTTACTTTTATTAAATTCCTTTTGATTTGTTTGAAGGTAGCAAAGCAATATGGATACATCTGCAAACTAAGTAGGGATGTTAACTTTTCGGCTTATTCTGATCCCGGGATTTTCGGGATGGCGTTGTCACAATCCCGGGATCCCAGGATTAGTCCCGGGATTTAGATATTCATTACTTTTCAACAACTTAAATCGAAAAAATTGCTTCTATATTGTTGGAGAAGCTCTCCTACCATAAAATAAATAATAAATAAATGGGCTTTGACCCATGGTACAATAATTACAGGTATTGTCTTCCCAGAGGGCGCATATTCCGATCTGCCTTATTTAAAAAATATCATTGTTGCCCACACTAAAATGTTTACTGCTGGAAATATCCCTTTTTCCATGCCCCATATACCATATATGTTCACGTATTTTTTTTAACAAACCATCTTACAGAGAACATATTCACATTGCAAAAGCCGACAAAAAACATTTGCTGGTAAATAAATTCAAAATTTGTATGGCTCACTTAATTTCAAACGTTTTTTCTTTTGTTTTGAAAAATTATAAATATTAAATTGAGCGAAAACAAAAAGCAAAGCCAAATAAAAGTAAAAGAATCAACATTGAACTGCGTCAAAATGAAAATAAGGGAGCACGAATTTCGATGTGAAGCAAAACTCTCTAGGAAGACAATACCTGTAATTATTGTACCATGGTTTCAAAACTTTGTAATTTCAAAGACATGATTAATTCCAAAAACTATTAAAAAATTCAATGCAATGTAAAATAAAAATATGGGTAACAAATGCAAGGAAATTTCTTAAGAATTTAAAAAAGTTTAATTTTTTGGATTCACCAGGACGAAAAGGTAATTTTTAAGCTGACAGTTAGAAGAACGAAATTCGAACAAATATTGCGAAATTTCAAGGATAAAATTTTAAAATGACATTTTCAATATTTACCAGCCTTTCTGCACTAGAAACCTAGAAACTTGAATATGTTTAAATTCTACGAGATTTCCTCCTTAATTTTATACCCATACTTCTTTTCTAAGCACATTTCTCTGAATTTTTTAAATAATTTTTGAATTACTGACGTCAGAAACACTAAAAACGCAATTTTACTATATTTGGTCCATGGTTGCGCGAATATATTGATATTTGTGTTTAAAATTTACTATCGCGCGGTGATATATGTACAATGAGCTAGACATTTATAAAAAAATATTAATTATTAAATAAAAAAAGAAATATAGCCAATACTGGTCAAGAAATGGAGGTTCTATTATTGCCACCAGTGCAAATTACAAATCCCGTAAATCCCGGGATTACTTGCCAAGAAACCCGGGATTTTCGAGACCTTAAAAAGTCCGGGATCCTGGGATCCCGGGATTAACATTCCTAATTCTAAGGTGATAGACTCGGTTTTTCCAAACCGGTCTCCACCTGTTTTTTTGAATATCTGTACGCGGTTTTTTTGAAATCTTATTTTTATTGAAATCTTGACTTTTTGAGTATCGAATAAACCGGTATATTAATTGCATAAAAATTTTGACCTCCCAATAAAAGTTTTGAGTGTTTCGAAGTTTTCAAGGCTTTTTCCAGTCTAAGCGAAACCCTAATTCGTGTTCTTCTTCTTGGTGTTGTGACACAAATGAAGAGATCCACACTTTTACTACAATTCCGAAGAAGCTTTTTCATGGCAGAAGTACATCCGGAGGTTTGGCGTAACTGTTTGTAAATGACCACCTTAACCTTTATTTTTTTATTCTATTTTCGCCTGAAAAATGTTGTCAACATAAGCGTGGCTTTCTATTATAATATTGTCCCTCCGAATTTTCCTAAATGTAACTGTTTTCATTTTCTTGTTTATATGTTTTCGTGAAATAAGACTCTTAGAAAAAACCGAAAAATGTGAAATATTTCCAGAATGTCATTTTTAGGTGAAAAAGGATTTTTTAATTAAAAAGCGTATTTCTCCAAAAATGTTCAAATGGCATATGTATATGGGAAATTGTTGCCGAAGAAAGATTAAACGAATCCGAAAACGGAAAAAAGTCGATGGTAACCGGATTTTTGTCCGTTTACCGATCCCATTTCCGTATACTTTAGTGATCCGTTTTCCCACTAAAGTGTGCGGCAGAAACGTTTGTACAGAAAATTACCGAAAATGGTGTTGAAAAGGATACGTTTTCGGCTGTTTTTTCTGAAATTTGTCTGATTGAATTTTTCGTTCAATACGCTTTTTTTCTGCACTTCACACATACTGTTTCATGGTTCAAAAGAAATAAAATAAAATTAGGAAGCGCATGACTGAATTTGAACCCGGCACCTTCAAATGGCGGCACACTCCTCTGCACGCTCAGCCACTCAAATGTTTAGCTTGAGCAAATAAAATACAAATAATGCTTTCAAATGACATCATCTTTTTCGAACGTTTTCCGGATACGAAAATTGACGATAACTGTAGGAGTTTTTTGCATGCGTTTTCGGATACGGAAAATTGAACGAAATTGCACTGTCGGCAAAACTACCGTTTCTTTGCTGGCTGGGAAGCGCTGCTTTTAGCCCAGTTATGCATACTTGCACTGCTATACCATTTTTACGTAAAAATCAAAACCCAACAGAGTTCTACATGTTAAGTGCTATGCGTTGGGTAACCGCTTACACGCAAAGCCCATTTAACAGATTCTTATGTGACAACTCTCATGCAAAGGTAAGTATGCATAACTGGGTGTTGCTGCTTAGCGATATAATTTAAGTCATTGCAATTTCATGTTTTAAAGTCACAGTAGTCATGTGTAGGGTATACGTATATTTATACATTTGCATTCCTCCAGTTTCGCCTGCAATTATGTATTTGCATATGTACTCGCATTGTCCGTACGCATATGCGTGTATGTATGTACAAACATGCAATCGAATTGTATTTATGTATACTTTGTAACCGCATTGCAGCATTTATCATTGTCCCTTTTTATGTTTAGTGTGAATATGCTCAAGAACCTGTTGCGCTTGTACATATGTACTCACTATGTGCATGTTTTTTGTGAACTTACCGCAATGCGTCAATCGCTTTTCTATTGCGCGCGCATATAAATTGTCGAATTCTTTCGCGCAAATGTCAACTAGATTTAGTCGTCCATCGAATTAGAATAGCGAAGGACACACTGCGGTGAGTACTGATTTTATATGTACACACGTTTATAAGTGTCTAACTTGTAACCTTTTACAGAAATAAACCGAGTTAACTTTTATGTCTCAGCCAAAGACTACGTTGCCTAATTATTAGAACTCGCGTTAAATTCGCAAGCGTGATCGACGACATTGCTTTATTTCGCAGTCTTTATTGAAATTTGCCAACTTGCGATTTCTTTGTTGCAAAATTTCACTGCAAGTTACATGGGCAAATCACCACGCCGCAGCCCTCGATTAAACAGTGATACAATGGAAGGTAACGTTTCTGCATCGAATGCTGCCACGTCGAATACTGCCGGAACGAAACCCGCTCCACGGACTGATGTTGGAGTCGCCACCACTACCACCGGTACAGCCAGTTCATCGCCAGCAGCTCCCACAGCCGCAGGAGCAGCCACCCGCAACTTAACAACGTCTGTAACATCAACACCTGCAGGGCGACAGGAAGCTATGATTCAAGCAATGCAAAAGCGTATCGCGATGCTTGAAAATAGCTTGAAATCTGCTGAAGTAAAGCTGAAAGAGCATGAGTCCCAAACTTAAGCAGCAAGCGCTGGGCCAGGTAGCAGCGCTATTGCGCCCAACAACCCTCACGTCGCCGGCTCTCTAGTTTCCCAAGTACCAACAACGCAACATCGAGTTGCACACTCACCTGAACTGCAGTTACCAACAACGACTATGGCAAATCCAGCACCGTCTACGTCACTAGCCGATAGCCGCCACTCACCGTTGTATTTCACAACATGCACACCTATTACAAATGTACAGTATGTCACATCGAATGGTATACCAGTACCCAACAATGCACATGCCGATTCAATAATGCCTCCGAGTGGTGTCACTACTTTGAGATCTGACACACCTATATATCCCAACATGGGTTCTGTAGCCACCCAGTCGTCTTGCTTACCTAGACAGATGCAGGTTTTGCCGGATTTTTGTGGAAAAGCTGAAGACTGGCCGATATTCTATACGGCTTTCACAGAATCCACTGCTGTCTATGGGTACAGCAATTTTGAGAACAATCAAAGGCTACATAAATGTCTGAAGGGCGAAGCACGAGAGACTGTAAAGTCTCTGCTTATTCACCCGAGCAACGTCAACAACGTTATTGAACAGCTCAAAATTAGATTTGGTCGCCCCGAACAGTTGATCCGAAGTCAATTAGCACAAGTTCGCGAAATCGCGCCCATATCAGAGAGTGCAATGATGAGGTTAGTGCCATTCTCAACAAAGGTAAACAATATTTGCATTTTTCTACAGTCAGCCAACGGCGGAGAACAGCATCTCGCCAATCCTACACTACTAGATGAACTCGTCATGAAATTGCCGATGAGTAAACGTATCGAGTGGGCAAGCTACTCAGCATCCATACAGCCGTATGCAACAGTAAGCCACTTTAGCGAGTGGCTCACGAAATTGGCGAATGTTATCTCGACAGTGTATGACATTGAGTCAATGCGAGACTCTAAACGTCGTGTCGTATTGCATGCCACCGAGTCGCAACGTCAGCCGAGCTGCCCATTATGCCAGGGGCCACATAGACTGGTTGAATGCAGACAGTTCATTGGTCATACAGTAGCAGATAGGTGGACCGAAGCGAAGAGACATCGCTTGTGCTTCTCATGTCTTTATGCCGGGCATGGTACACGCGATTGCCAACGGCGCAAGCCATGTGCCGTAGAGGGGTGCAGAAGGATGCACCACAAATTGTTGCATGAAGGTGGATGCAATGCCAATAATATGCCAGCAGATATACGCCAACGCAACAGGAACGTCCCCGTATCCCAACGCTTTCCACAAACTCAACAGCCATCCCGTAGCCGACAGCTAAGTGATACAGAAGCTGCAGTTCTTAGCTGCAGTAAGGGTCCCGCTGATAACAAGCTGCTATTTAGAATTCTACCAGTTGTATTGTACGGCAATAACAAGCGCGTCGAGACGTATGCGCTGCTGGATGAAGGTTCGTCGATTACAATGGTCGACAAAGCTCTTCTTCTGGAATTGGGTTTACGTGGTCAGGAGCAACGTTTAAATGTACAGTGGTTCGGAGGCCGCGCCGCACAAGAACCAGCCGTCATAGTAGACTTGTTTGTCAGCGGAGCCGGTATGCAAAAAAGGCATAAATTGCGAAGTGTCTACGGGGTGTCGAATTTGCAGTTGCCATCGCAAAGCTTAAGCAAAACAGAGCTAAGCTGTGCCGACACACATATGCGTAAGTTGCCAGTACAACCTTATTCAAAGGTAAGTCCTAAGTTATTGATCGGGCTTGATCACTGCCACCTCGGTTTGCCATTATCAACTGTGAGAATGAACAAAGGCGGTCCGTTCGCAGCACACACCGAGTTGGGATGGGTAGTCTTTGGCCCAACTATTAACAAGCAAAATTCATTGCCGCTGTGCTTGCTCGTGAACAGCCACAGTGACCAGTCGTTGCACAATCTGGTGGCTGACTATTTTGAGACTGAGAGTTTTGGGGTCAGACCATCACCGCCCATCGAAAGTGAAGCCGATATCCGCGCGAAAACTATTCTGGAGAAGACTTCGCGCCGCGTTAATGGAAGGTTCCAGACGGGTCTGCTGTGGAAGCGTGACAATGTGGAGCTGCCTGATAGCTATTCCATGGCGCTTAAAAGATTGAAAGGTATTGAAAACAAGATGAGGCGCGATGCTGCGTTCGCTGCCGAATACAAACGCATCATAGACGCCTATGTAGCAAAGGGTTACGCACGTAAGTTACTGCCATCAGACGTCGCCTTGCCATCACCTAGGATATGGTACTTGCCACACTTTGCGGTGACTAACCCTAATAAGCCAGGCAAGCTACGTTTAGTTTTCGACGCTGCAGCTGAAGTTGGTGGTGTTTCCCTTAATTCAAATCTGTTGAAGGGACCACAAGAGTACAAGTCATTGCCATCTATACTTTTCCATTTACGCCAAGGAGCGATTGCGGTGTGTGGTGACATAAGAGAAATGTTTCACCAAATATTGGTTCAACGAGAAGATAGGTGTGCTCAGCGATTCCTGTGGCGTTGTGGTGATGTCACGAAACAACCAGAAGTATATGAAATGTGTGTGATGACGTTCGGTGCTGCCTGCTCGCCTTGCGCCGCCAACTACATCAAGACAGTCAATGCGCTAGAGCAACGTAGTGACAACGAAAGTATAAGCCGCGCGGTGAAATCTATACTAAACCACCATTATGTGGACGATTTCGTTGACAGCTTTGATACTGTAGAGGAAGCCATCGCTGTTTCGAAGATGGTGCGCGCTATCCATTCAAAAGCCGGTTTCGAACTTCGGAATTTTTCGTCAAACTCGCAGAAAGTGGTAAATGAGCTAGATGGCAACGAAGCTACACGATCTATTTGCAAAAAAGAAGGTATGTTGGTAGAAAAGGTTCTGGGTTTATTTTGGCAACCCTCAACCGATTGCTTTGGGTTTAAGCTAAAGTTTAACAACGTGGACGCAGCGGTTATAAATGGATCACGGCAGCCCACCAAAAGAGAACTCCTAAGCGTCGTTATGTCCATCTTCGACCCTTTGGGATTCCTAAGCAATTTTGTTGTCGGAGCTAAATTGATCATGCGAGATGTATGGAAGCAAAGGGTTCGCTGGGATGAGCCATTGCCAAAAGAGGTCAACGATGTATGGGAAAAGTGGCGCAATCAACTAATTGCAGTCATGGATTTTGCGATTCCCCGTTTCTACTTTCGTAAGGGTACGCCAAAAGGTTTGCAGCTTCACGTGTTTGCTGACGCCAGTGAGGTCGCCTTTGCAGCTGTCGCTTACTTTAGGTCGGAGAGTGCCAGCGGCGAAATTGAAGTTGTATTTATTGCCGCGAAGTCGAAATGTGCTCCAATTAAGGCCTTAACGGTTCCACGACTGGAACTCCAAGGTGCTGTGCTGGGTACCCGCTTGATGAACTGCATACGAGCAGAACACTCACTGGATGTCGATCAGTGTGTTTTGTGGAGCGACTCCAAGACCGTAATTAGGTGGATTAGAAGTGAACATCGTCGCTACAAACCTTTCGTGCAACACAGGGTAGCGGAAATATTGGCTATCACGAACCCTTCAGACTGGAGGTGGCTTCCAACTGCTCTAAATGTCGCCGATGAAGCCACGCGCTCAAACAACCGTCTCGATTTCGGCCCAACCGCCCGTTGGTCATGTGGACCAGCATTTTTACAACAGCCGCAACACCTTTGGCCTAGTGACGACGCTGTGGTAACCAGCGAGGACGAACATGAAGAGGAACTTCGCCCTAAATATGCTCTGGTAATAGCCAATTTTAATATTTTTGTATTTAAGCGTTTTTCTTCGTACAACAAAGTGGTGAGAGTTGCAGCCTGGGTTTTGCGCTTCTTGGACGCCTGCCGCCGCCGTATTCAGTGCGATTGCTATTATGGGTTAACTGCTCGCGAAATAGAACTTGCCAAAAAGCTGTTATGTCGCTTCGTTCAACATGAAGCATTTGCCGATGAACTCCAGCAGATAAAGAATGGTCAAAACATCGCCCGTAGTAGTGCTCTTCTACAACTGTCGCCACATATCGATGAAGAGGGTATCCTACGTGTGAATGGACGGATAGATGGGGCGAGTTGGCTTCCGATAAGCTCCAGACGTCCTATTATATTGCCAACAAACCATGACTTTACAAGGCTCGTGGTAATGCACTATCACATTACTATGCGTCATCAAAATACAGAGGCTACCATATGCGAGATTCGTCGAATCTATTGGATCCCACGTTTGCGAGGTTTGTTGCGTAGCGTAGTTGCAAACTGTTTGGTATGTCGTTTGAGTAAAGCTCAGCCAGTAGCACCTCAAATGGGACCATTGCCTATCGACAGACCATAGGCCATTTATTTACACGGGATTAGATTACTTTGGTCCGATAACTGTAACCATCCGGCGCAGTACGGAGAAAAGGTGGGTAGCTCTCTTCACTTGCCTGACAGTGCGAGCGGTGCACCTAGAGCTGGCCCATGACTTAAGCACCGATTCCTGTATTGTCGCCATTAGAAATTTTATAAATCGTCGTGGTGTGCCTATACGTCTGCGCTCAGATAATGGAAAGAACTTCGTCGGCGCTGATAAAGAAGCCAAGCGATTCAGTGAGGTGTTCGATTGCGCTCACGTACAGGACGAGTTATCACGGAGGGGCATTGAGTGGAAATTTAATTCGCCATTCAATCCAGCAGAAGGAGGTGCCTGGGAAAGGCTAGTGCAATGCGTGAAACGAGTGTTACGCCAGACGTTAAAGGAGGCTTCGCCGAAGGAGCACGCGCTCAACTGCCTTTTAATTGAAGCAGAAAACATTGTTAATTCTCGGCCTCTTACTCACCTGCCTATATCCGTCGACCAAGAGCAGCCCCTGACGCCTAACGACTTTCTTCTAGGTGAGCCAAACAACGCGCAGACCCCCATCGCAGAAGACGTTTTGGAGCAAGTTTGCGTTGTACGCCAGCAGTGGAGAATTGCCCGCCAGTTGAGAGACCACTTTTGGAAGCGGTGGGTGGCCGAGTACCTACCAACATTAACCCGTCGAGTAAAGTGGTGCCAGCGAAAGGAACCTTTGCGAGAAGGGGACCTAGTGTTTATATGCGACCCTAATACACCGAGACGAGAATGGTGTAGAGGTAAGGTGGAACGACTTTATCCAGGTGCCGATGGTGAAGTGAGGCGAGTCGACGTTAGAACAACAAGCGGCGTGAAACGACGTGCAGTGTCGAAGCTGGCTGTCCTGGACATATGTGGTGAATCGGGTTGATTCACGGAGGCGGGGATGTTGCTGCTTAGCGATATAATTTAAGTCATTGCAATTTCATGTTTTAAAGTCACAGTAGTCATGTGTAGGGTATACGTATATTTATACATTTGCATTCCTCCAGTTTCGCCTGCAATTATGTATTTGCATATGTACTCGCATTGTCCGTACGCATATGCGTGTATGTATGTACAAACATGCAATCGAATTGTATTTATGTATACTTTGTAACCGCATTGCAGCATTTATCATTGTCCCTTTTTATGTTTAGTGTGAATATGCTCAAGAACCTGTTGCGCTTGTACATATGTACTCACTATGTGCATGTTTTTTGTGAACTTACCGCAATGCGTCAATCGCTTTTCTATTGCGCGCGCATATAAATTGCCGAATTCTTTTGCGCAAATGTCAACTAGATTTAGTCGTCGATCGAATTAGAATAGCGAAGGACACACTGCGGTGAGTACTGATTTTATATGTACACACGTTTATAAGTGTCTAACTTGTAACCTTTTACAGAAATAAACCGAGTTAACTTTATGTCTCAGCCAAAGACTACGTTGCCTAATTATTAGAACTCGCGTTAAATTCGCAAGCGTGATCGACGACACTGGGATATTTGCCTTTCGTTTATAAATGTGTATATATGTATGCACATTAGGGTGGTCCAAAACATATACTTTTTCACATGCATTTTTGGACCACCCTAATGTACATACATGTGTATTTAGCAAGTTCAATAAGTGATCGCTGTTTAGCTCAAATACGTTTGAGTGTATGTAGTATGTCCCTGCAAAAATCGTTGGAGCATGTAGTCTATTTGCGGTATATTGGAGTACTTACAAAGTGATCCTCTGTCATGCTGTAGCGGACCAACTCGTGTCTCTGCACCAGCTTATTGGTTGTTACCCGATCACTGCTCGTGTGTTAACGAGATGTGATTGAAGTTGAGCATTTGAAAGCACATTTGCATATCTGGCAGTAGGTGAACGTGTAGAGATGCTCTCTGTTAGTTGTTAGCTGCCAGCATGTTCGGCATGGATCACTAGATATGAAACTCTTTTTCTCGTGAGAGCGCTGTCAAAGTGTGTATTTTTTATAACATTCTCCAGTAGAGCCACTGTGACGAAAACATGTATGGGCATTTATAGAGAAATTTATGGAGAAACTTTTGATTAAACACAAAGAACAAAAGTTGCAATATTCTTCATATCTATTTTATGTTTCAGTGTTTATATTGCCAGTAAAATCGCGTTTAGTTACAGATACTGTTTCACAGTAATATTAAAAAATGCGAGAAGAAGAAATCCACTGAAATCAATGTGATGCATTTTCCACACATCTAGTGGTATCTCGCCACTTCGCGTGTCAGCTGTTTATCTTCCCAGGGATTGGCAGTGCTGCCAAGTACGAAAACGAGTTCCTGGGCGCGCTCTCAGAAAAAATAAACATAATAAGTCATAGATTTCCGACAAATTCACCCTGAATTGGCGCTGAAGTCAAAATATAAAGTATATTCTACATAAAATACATGTTTTATTTGCGTTAAAAATTAATTTAAAAGCAATATTAACAAAATATAACGATGGAAATTTATGTCACGTGACGTAGCGTAACGTTTCACACTTGGGGTTGTAAAAGAAAATTGAAACAAGTTGCATTAATTAAAAAAACTAAAAACAACTAGAATTGCTCCAAGTCATATTAAAATAAGTTCCGTGAAAATAGCCATCCACAATTCGCAGAGTTTTGCGATTTTGTAAGAAAAGAAAAACTCGACTTCCATTTTTTGACACGTAACGACACTCTCTTTAAATTCTTATATTTCAGGACCAAGCAATTCGATTGTTTTCATTTTTCGGTTAAATATAGAGCTAATTATAAGCTATACAATGGCCCAAAAATGTTACAGAAAACAAATGGTATTCCTTGCTTGTATCACATTGAAACGTACGACTGTCACGTATGCGACGTATGGAAATACCCATATACAATCGTTCTTGAGCAAAGAAGTGGGTTTTTCAGGAATTTTTAGGAAAAAGGGGGTGGCACCGCCCACTCATATCATATATGTATGTCTCAAAAACTACTTGGCCGATCTCGACCACATTTGGTATACACATTGTGCTTAGCTTTCTTAAGTACTGTCTTGAATATTTTTGAAATCCGACAAAACCTAATCCCCCTAAAATATAGCTGGCTTTGTGCTTTTGAAACTACCGTTACGTTGGTGGAACCCGTGGTTTTTGTGCGACTTCAAAAATTTTCAATGCGGCCCTTAAGAAGCTTAAGCACAATGTTTATACCAAATTTGGTCGAGATCGGTCTAGTAGTTTTTGAGATACGCATATATGATATAAGTGGCGGTGCCACCACATTTTTCCTAAAAATGCATGAAAAACCCACTTCTTTGCTAAAGAACGATTGTATATGTATATCAATTTTGAATAAATATTGATGAATTCCTTAGCCACCCTGCTCAAAAAATCTGTAAGTCCGGTACATAAACAATAAAAATTCAAGGCCGTATTTAAGAAAAGTCTCCTAAATTCGACAATTTTAATGCGGTTACAATTAATAAAGTATCAGTTTATTTGAAAATAGATTTGATTTTAGACAGTACTACATATTTTGAAATTGTAGAAATTATCAATGGTCAAAATTTAAAAATTAAGAGAAATATGTTTTTATTTTTTATTTTACCCCATAAAAAATCCCAACAAGCCAAGTCCGAAAATAGATTCTTAGATACCATTTTAAAGGCCTATATATCCTCTTCTCAGATGATATTCGATCTTTGAAATCGTGTCAGAAATAGTCATTCAAAAACTCATAAATCTACCAAACCGTATTTTTTAACCTAAATCGACAGGTCGCGACCTCTAAATGACCTTTAAAATATCTATAAAAATAGGCAATAATATTTCTCATAAAAACGAATAAAATTAGGGGGTAAGGTCTTGAAATTAAAAAAAAAAAACATTTTCGATGCGCACCCTAATGTACGTATGTGCGTATGCACATAAATAAATTTTGTTTGTACCTGCGTTTGAAAATATATTAAGGGAGTTCCAGATTTGTAGCATTTTAGGTTTTTTTTTATCCCATTTGGCCATAATGCGTGGTGTTGTTGAAATAAAATGCGCCAGAAAGTTTGACGAATATTTGAGTCCATGCTCTGACAGAACTGTTTGAAAGTGAGCAGTCAAATCAACAGAACAGAAAAACGAAAAAACACTTTTCAGCTATGTTGGAGGTTAACTCTTGATATTAGGAGCGTTCCTTCTCTCCCAGAAATAGTCAGAAAAAGTCCGAAGTAGTCAGATTTAATCCAAAAAGCGTTCCTTAACTCGGAAATGACAGCAAAAATGAGAGAGCAACACTCAATGAGAGTGACTCTCATCAGTCCGAAGTAGTCAGATTTAGTCAGAAGATTTTTTTCTGGCAAAATCCTGAAAAGTGTCAAACTCAACTGAATTTAAATTAACGGAAATTAAAGAGTACGCAAAAAGTGAGAATAATCTAAAAAGGAAAAAAAGTGAATTGAAATTGGAAGGAGGCAAAAAATAATTGATATAGTAAGTGTTTATTGTGCTTGTGCTTGTGTGAATGTGTTTTGTACATACATTTCCATTCTTATTTGACGTTAGCTTTGTTGTTGCCATTCTTTGGACTAAAAATTTGTTTTTTTGCGTTCGTTTACTTTTCCTGTTATTCTCTTTTAGTGAGCGCATTTTGCTTGCGCTCTGGCATTTTGACACTTTTCAGATTTTAGTCCAAAAAGATAAGGAATGAACCTATT